TCGTTATGTTCAGTCTTGCACGCGTCAATTGTATTAAATAACAATAAGATAGAACTATGCTTCTGGCATTATTGTGGTCGAGAAAATCTAATTGAAGTAAATTTATTCGACTTTTTGTCGTACTTCTTAATTGAATTATTAATCATGATTTTTGAACAAAATAAATGAAATTGGAAAAATTTATCACTATAAATTAATTTGATTACATTAATAATAATAATAATAATAACAATGAAAACCTCAAAAATCAAATAAAACTAAAAGTCTATACCTACATAACATTTTCGTATAATATATAAATTTTAAAATATTAATGCAGTTCACATGAACTTATTACGTTATTACTTATTACCATATAAACTTTAAGTAAAGTTATTCTTTATTTGCAACACTCATTTAAAGTAAGTTTGATTTATAACATTGTGTAATGTTTAAAAAGACGCCTAACCTAATATTTGTAGGTGATTAATTAAAATAGTAAATAGGCGAAGATCCAATAATGTGTCTATTTATTTAAAAATGTTATGAATTTTTACAAACGAAAGTTGCTGTATCGTTTTGTTGTTTTTAAGCTTTATTTTATTATTATTAAGAAATTCTAAAAAAATACATTTTTATTGTGTAGTGCAGTAATTATAGTATTTTATTGAAACTTGAAGTATTTTTTTAAAAAATTAAACACTTGTCGTATTATCAACCACAATTTTAAATTAAAAAATGTCACGAATATCAAGTTAAATGTTCATCTCATTAGTTATTAAAATAATTTAAAGCTGTTCGGCAGCAGTTTTTTTGTTTTACCACCACGAGCTGCTAACTCGCAAGAAAAGTTATTTTTTTTTTTTTAATAAGAATTCCATAAAGGACATTATAATACATAACCTGTGAACCGTATCGTTTGGTTTGTGTGTTTAAGGTAATCATGTAATGGCCGCGTGCGCGTTCTTTGTTTAGCAAATGCAAACACGAATTTCCCTTTATTATTATTATTATTATTATTGTTATTACAAAAGACGGACACAATCGATCAAGGACAAAGCGAGCCCTAGTATGTCATTATTGTTATCATCGCATTATTTAATATTTATCCAGTGCATCGCATCGGCACCTCGTCGCCGTCATTGTTTTCCAACATTAATCCAAATTAATGTTACCCTTCGAAAACGGGCGACCAATACAATTAAAGGGTATATCCGTAGTATATACTCGCGACCATGTGTATTATACAGTACGCACGCGCACACATACGTGTTTATGCTGTGTATAAATATAGGGTGAGCACGCGGTATGCGTACGGGAGCAAATCGATGATTGCAGTTTACACCCCCGCGCCCCGTGTACGAGTATGTATCGCAGTCGTCGGTAGATCGGAGACGTATTTAGAGTTTTGACGGCCCGGGCACGGTTTCACTGCCACCCCTAGACACGTTTTATACGATTTTCAAGAAAGGTAATATTTATTATCCATGAGTTTTACGCGATCAACTTTTGATAATATTATCATGAAAATTAAAATCGCCACGCGGTCACTTTGCGAAATCTTAAAACATTAAAATCGTTCGATTGACGAATGAACGTAGATGATGGACTGCGATCACGGAAAAACGGTACCCCCTCGCTCCCCCTAGATACGTCCCTGGCAATGATAACGGTAATAACAATAACGATAACTCGAGCGGGGTGTAATAAAAAGCACGCGAGCGACAACGATGGTTTTGTGAGGCACGTGATCTGAAAACGGAATCCGGGGCGGGAATCTTCTCGTGTCGGGTCGGCTTAAATAACGTGACGAATTTTTTTTTTTTTTCTTCGGGTGCACACCGCCTGTATGCGTGTATATATATTTATTTATAATACGTGTGTTACAGGCAATCTGTCGTGCGTTTTCTCGTTTTCCTCGGCGAGCGCCGTGCACACTCCGTCGGCCGACCGGGCGCATTCGATCAGCCGTGATATTGGGTGTACGGTATATACGCGTTCGAGTCACTACTAATGGCCAATAACAGACGTGGCCCGGGTCCGTAATAAACGCGAGTGCATGTGCCCCGGGCGGTGGAGCAGGATACCCGGGGGAACAATAACCCATGCGGCCACCCCTGTTTCTCCCTATTCTTTATTTTTTCTCTCTCTCTCTCTCTCTCTCCAAGAAGACAAAACTAACTTTTCAATTGATCGTAGTTGTTTATCGCGTAACGAGCGCCGACGACGACGACGACGACGACGTGTACGACGACGTTCGCCTTTTATCATTTCTGCCCCGTATCTCTCTAACCGTTAAATTAAGGTTATCATTCGTACGCGCCCGAACCCTCGCGATGCGCACGGGGGTGGCTGCGTACGGACGTAAACGCGCAAAGGTGTCCGGGCCCGTACGCGTTTTTCTCGCGTTAGTTTTTTTCCATTTCGGTTGTAGCGATGCGTGTTATTGCGACGTCGAGCGCGCTGGTATTTTATGAAAATCGGAAAACAGAAAATTAATAAGACCATCGAAAAGATAAAACGCAATGTTACATAAAGCGTGTGGAGAATGCGAGAAGAGGTGAATTCAATTTACAAACAGTTTTTTAATGCACGCATATCTATAAGAAACGGTCAGCGTTGAAAAAAGTCAAAACGATGAAGGGTGGTCACTTCACCATTATTCAGCATGGCAAAACTGGGTGGTAGGTTGTTATCTGACGTGAACATATTAAGTATACAAGTATTATGAAAAAGTTATCAGATGTCCGTACCGTCGCAGTATAATTGGTTTTTTATGAAGTGTTTGATTTTTTTTATATTTACGGTTTTTATCACGTTGAAACACTTAAACTGATTTTATTTAAAAAAAATGTGTGTAAATGATTTTTCTTATATCTGAACAAATTTGTTTAGTTTAACAACTCTTGCTTCTTATAATTTTAATCAATTTCATCATATCTATGTTATCATTTTTTTTACCCCTACAATTACACATCCTAGATCAATGTTTCTAACAAAACACATTTTTTAAAAATAGTGCACTTATTTGTAAATATTTAGTTTTACAAACTCGCAGTTGTTTTAATATTTGCTATTAATATAATAATTATTACAACGGTTATCCAATAAAAATAAGACCGTACCCGTATTGACAATGGGATGGCAGAGGAAAGTTTTTTGCGATGGTGCGTATAATGTTTATTATAAAAAAATCATAATACTGTTTAATGTTTTTTTGTAATAATAATTGAATTACTAACACAGAGTCAATGTAATGGTTATGTTTTACCATCACTGATAATTTATATATATTTTCTTAAAGTTTTAAAAACGTATAGCTAGTGCATTAAGCATTCGTAAGAATCGATAAAGAATTATTAGCAGAAACTGTTTAAAAATATCAGCTAAGCAGTGGCGTATATAGGGGGGCTAGTTGTCTAAAGCCCCCCCCCCCCGAAATGTTTCAAAAATTTAAAAATTATTTTAAACGTTTGTTATATTTTAATAGTTCTTTATGATTATTTAGAGTTTGCGTCCCACGGCAAATATAACCATGTTCACGTGGTTTGTAATATTATTTTTAAATTTTTGATATTCTTTTTTTTATTTTGAATATCCAGAGAAAAAATGAAACTTTGTTAAATCGTTTTGGGACATTCTGTAAATGAAATGTAGATAAGTACCTGCTGGGTCTTGTTAGTAATTCTTAAATAGCAGTGGTAATTTAACTATGTCCATAGTAGCTCCACCCGAAAATATTTTCTGTATACGTCATTGCAGCTAAGATATTCTAAAAACTATCAAAAATCTATAAAACATGTAGTTAGGTACGCAAGATCGTAACAATATGAAATTGTCACATTTAAAATATTTTGTAGATGAAAAAGGTGGTACTAGTAAACCATATACGTCCAAAATTAGAGTTGTTACTAAATTTTAATTATTTTCCGTAGGTAACGTGAATTGGGAATACTTGCACGCAATTTTAGCATCTGTGTTATTTTGTAGGCTTTGTCCGGGATAAAATGCGCAAAATGTAGGTACAGCCGATGATTAGTGTCTGCGGTCCGGTGGTAATCCGATAAAAGATTACATGTTTTTTATCCCCCACTCCCCACACAGGAAGATTTCGTATATTTGGTGTGATGTACGTCAGGTAAATCCGAAGTCATTTGTTGCGGTCTTGAATCGATGATTTTTCTCTGCATTCGTATACAAATCCTCGAAAAAACTTATATGAATCATAATATTAATGTTGTTGGATTTATTAGAGTCAACGCAGTATATGCAAAGAAAATAAATCGTTAAGTTGAAAATAAAATAAAATAAATAAAAAAAGGAATGATAGTAGTACGCATTTAACTTTGTCATGTGCTAACTTAGAAGTTTGCATTTGTAAATATCAAACTCGTTTCGTGTGAGTTTTACAAGCACGAAATGAATAAACGAACTAAGACGGTGTAATAAGAAAAAGCATTAAAGAGCACTATAGCATAAAAAAGGGGTGACACTCAATTGAACAGACCGTTAAAATACTAATCATTTGTTTTATTTTTCCCTTCTAAAGGTCATTATTTTAAGGACTTGTTCAATTAATAATAATATAATGTTTACAAAGGAAGTCTACAGGAAATATGTTGCGTTTTAGGCCGGGACGTGTTCGCTTAACACCGGCTGGTGGCCACTAATGTAGGTTAGTTATTCTCGAAAATGTTCTGGGACCGTGATCAGAACGTACTTCGATACCTGGTAGTCGGTACGGTGTTCTAATGACCGTGCACGTATACATAATAACCTCACATGCAATATTACTTGTAATATTTTACTAATGCTATATTGCTGTTCTATCAATTATTCCATAAGGAATCATTACTGTTGATTATTATTCATACAGTAAAGCTGTTATTATTAGTCTTATGATTAGTTTTTGTCGTCAATAGTAACTCGTGTATTTACTTGTGCATTCAGTATTACTTTATAAAACTCAAACGATTATCAAATTTTCGAGTGCACATTTTATTTTTACACAACCAAGTAAAATGGGAGAAAATTGCCCTTTGGATCGAGATAAACTTGGTAAGTAAAGTAAAATCATAAATATCTCTCGTTATAAAACATGAATTTAAGTAAATCAATTGCGCAGCATATACATAATAAATACTTAAAATGTATGTAGGATATCATACCTGGAGCCTAATTCATACGATGGTAGCGTACTATCCGGATGAACCTACCCCTCAACATCGGGCACAAATTACTGAATTTCTTAAATTACTCGGCGACCTGTATCCTTGTCGAGCTTGCGGTGAAGATTTTTCTCGGCTGTAAGTAGTATGTAGATGTTTTTATCAAACACACATTTTAAAATATTGTTTATTATATCTTTTCATAATGATATTAAATAACGTTTTCAACGAATGTGCTTACATTTTTAAATTTTTCTTTTAGGATTTTTTAATTTAAACTTTTTTTATAACAGATTAAATACTTGGCCACCGATTACCGACTCCCAGTCAACATTATCCCATTGGCTGTGTTTGATACACAATGAAGTTAATAAAAAAACCAACAAACCAATATTTGATTGTTCATTAGTTGACGAAAGATGGAAGTACGGATGGAAAGACGGAAGTTGTGATTATTAATACAAATAAAATGGTTATAAATTAACACTGCAGTTGTGTTTCCACGGGAGAAAGGTACGGTTTCGTGCACGTCGAACCCACTCCACGTAACTTCCGACGATAGTCGACGATCAATGACACATCGTCTATGTCGCTAAGTCCGTTTTCACACACACACACACACACACACACACACACACCGGTCAAATAGGAACCGGTTGTTCGCTTTTTTCACACATACCGGTAAAACCTAAGCCGGTGCCGGTTTCATTTCACACACAACGAGGAAACAATGTTAAACAGTTTTTGTACTCACTTGGGTGAAGTCGTGTTTTAATTATTTTCTCTGTTGTTCTCGACAATGTGTGCTGCTCTTAACAAACGCCATCTATTTGGGTTACTGTACCTTCGGAGGAAGTACCGAAGAGACAACGTTGAAAGACGATATTGGATTCATCCTATATTAAGTGTAAGGTACTTGGAAGAAATCATATCATATCAATATAACTATTTTAAGGTTTGCCCCGGTACCCCGACAAGACTTGTGCAAACTTGCGTATACACGTTTGTACAAGAAAACATTGAGATCGATAATTTGGAGATCAGTCCGGCATTCGAATTATCGAACTCAACGCCGACTGCGAATCCCGGAATCGTTCACCGGACCGAAAAATTTACCGGTCTGGTCTATGTGAGAAAGCACTAATTTAATTACATTGCATCCGGCATCGGCGCCGGCTCCGGTTCCAATTTTATCGGTGTGTGAAAACGGCTTAACGATTTGTTATTTGTATGTTACGTTTAAACAACCAACGCGTCGCGACGGTTCTTGTCGGTGGCTCCATCCATATGGGTCAGTTGAAGAACGAAGATTAGAGATTAGTGGATTTTGATGGTTAGTTGTGGCCGAGTATGGTTTTTTGTAAGATTAAGAGGCTAAATCAGGGAGAGTTGGAATTTTTAGGTCATTATGAAGGGACTGATTGCTGACGAACCAAGGAGCACCTGTGATGATGTGTAAGTCTATAGATTGCAAACAGACCGCAAATGTGCGACTGGTTAGGAAGGACTTAAGTATAAAAAATGATTGGGTCGGGAGAAAGCGGATTTTGAAAAGAAGTCCGTTTGATATTGACTCGCACTCGGTCAAATGTCTAGGTTATTCTATGCACTTGTTGTAGAGTTGAGTATTTGTTTTTGAAGTTGAATTGCGTACTAGGTATTATATTGAGATCATTAATAATTGGGTTGATTCTTAAAAGATTAACGTAGAAATGTACTAAAAAATTTTCATTTACAAATGGATCAGTAGTTTTTTTTAGGGGGGGGGGGAAGGCAAACATTATCCTTTTTTTTTTTTTGTCCCATATTTTGAATTTTGAAATCTGGTAACCCTACTGGTACCTTTCTTTCGTGAGAACGACTATAAGTGATTCTTAAACCGTTTATCGTCCTTCTTTAGTGCCAAGTTAGCAGTTAGTTTCACGTAATCAACGTTATGATGAACGGCCTTCAGTTACAGCATCGGTCAGCAGCGTTCATGTAAACATGATTCCATGTCACTATGTTCAAGATTACATGTCAAGATGCCTAGAAGCCTGAAGACATATTTTATTCAATAGGGTTTTGAAGCCATAATTTACTTTCTCTTTCTATCACACGCGCAATTTAAGAATTTAGACGTTTTCTATTTCCAACGTACTGATCGATCTATTAATGCGGAATCTAGGACAAAATATCCTGTACTAAAATATCCAAGTCAAAACATCCAAGGTTAAAATATCCAACGGATAAAATATCCAGGGATAAAATAACTAATGTATAGGACAAAATATCCAAATAAAAAAATAATAAAAATTTGTATATCTTATTTTGACTTGGATATTTTGTCCCAATACCATTGATGCGATATGGATTTTGAAAACTGATTTAAATTCGTCGTAAAGTTTTCTTTAGTTCAACTAGTCCACTTTTTTGATTTTGTCTCCCAACATTTTAAAAAATAGGATTAAACAAATTGGAAACCTAAAAATGAACAAAAATTATATTTTTGGGTATGTTATATACAAAGTTTAAAAAATGTGAGGAAGTAGATTCAAAAAAGAATTTACGACGAATATAATTTTAAATTTTTTGGGTTTTGAAAAAGCAAATATGATAGTCAAAATCTAATTGCATACTTCCATCTATCGTTAATACCACATAATGGTGTAAAAAAGTAGTTTTTTTAAATTTTTTTTCGAGGGTAACACGAATTTTTTAAAAATCGACTATTTTATAGTTTTTTAAGTTTAGCTTTCCATGTAAAATATGCGAGAATTTTTTCACACTCTTTTGAATTCAATGCTTTGAAAGAAACATTTTGAAAAAAAAAAGTTCACTATCCGGAAAAAAATGATTGACCACCTACCTATAGGAATACCAATAGTAATATCATTTAAAGGCAAAAAGCAGCTACTTGGTGAACCAGAACTTAAATCTGGCACTAGACAAAATCAAGCAATAACAGTATATCAGGCTCTTGATATTTGGAGTTTAACCGAATACATACAAGCTTTATGTTGTGATACAACCGCATTCAGCATGGGTCGACTAAAAGGTGCTTGTATATTATTAGAGCAAAGGCTAAAACGTGATATACTATATTTTCCATGTAGACATCATATACTTGAAGTTATACTAAGAAGTCTTTTTGAAATAAAAATTGATATTACATCCGTCCCAGATGTACAAATTTTAAACGTTTCCAAAAAGCTTGGCTTAATTTTAATGTTAAAAACTTTCATAGTGGATTGAAAGATACTTTTGTTTTTCAATTAGTACAAGATTTAAAAGAAAACCTTTTAATGTTAGGTAAAAATCAATTACGACAGTTTCAACCTCAAGATGACTATAAGAAACTGTTAAAACTTACTATTTTATTTCTAGGTGAAAAGCCTCAAAATGGTATATTTTTCAAAGTCCCAGGATCCGTAAATCATGCTCGTTGGATGGCAAAAGCTTTATATACTCTGAAAATATTTTTATTTCGAAACGAATTTAAATTAACATTAAATGAACATAATGCTTTCCGCGATTTGTGTATTTTTATAGTTCGGATATATGTTAAATAATGCTTTTGTGCTCCGAGTGCTGCTCTGGCACCAAACATGGACATACAATTTATGAAAGAGCTAATATTGTACGAGGTCATTGATATACAAATTTCAAAATTAACATTAAAAAAAATCTGTAGTCATTTGTGGTACCTAACACCAAAAGTAACATCATTAGCATTTTTTGGTGACAATGTATCACTAAAACAAAGGCCAAAATGGTTAAAGCAATGAAGACTTTTGATATCAAATCAGAATACAAAAAACCAATGACTTTATAATCAAATAAAATTTACGATTATGCTAATAAAGATACCGATAATTTTATATCAGTCCAATCTAGGAATTTTTTATAATAGATTCGGTATAATGTTGGACTTTTTAGATTTAGATCCGAAATTGTGGAACGAAAATGATCAATATAAAAAAGGAAAATAATTAGTAAATAACTTAACTGTAGTTAATGATATTGCGGAGTGAAGATAGCAAGTTAATAACTAAAAGCGAAGACCAGAAGCAATATTTACTGCAAGTAGTGTAGTCCGAGTATCGTCGGCGATTCCCAGATTGTAAAAAAACCACTTTGTCCAAGAACTTTTAAATAACTAAAAGAAATCGACTATGTAAAAAAAAAAATAAAAAAAATTATAATAATAATTGCTTTTATATGATTTTTCTTATGAAATAATAATTAATAGATAATATGATTTAAGATATACTTTAGATTTTATACATAAGTATATCTTAAATCGTGATTGTGAGCAACGCATTCATGACGTAAAAATAAATAAATATATTTACGACCGGGCTCCGCCGATTTACATTGAAAGCTTTTAACAATTTGGTACGGATGTACAAGTACATCTATAACAAATTGTTCTGCTCTTAAAAACACGTTTATATACAGCTCACGAGTGCAAACGGTTTCTCGGGTAAGTCATCATCTTCGTTTTTGATTGTTCGTCCAAACGGACCTTGAACTACATCGTCATTTTATAGAGCATTTGATAAGCACAGACACTAATTACTTACCTCTTTCGCTTCGGACCTACAGGGCTGTTATCGAAAATATACACCACACAACTCTCACCACTGGTTTAACGGAAGCACTAATCGAGCTTGGATTCTGCGTTAAACACGCCTTACCACTCTACTTCGTGGATCTGGTACCAAATAATAACAATAAAGAAATCTTCGATTCGCCATTATTGCTGGTCACGATTATCGAAGTTGAAAACAAAACCAAGAGTGGTCCTCCACGGTGCCACAACTGTCAGGTTACTGGGCATACAAGTAATTACATTAATGACGAGTCTACATAGAATGACAGTACCAACTTTGATGTTATGGCCTTTATAAATATTTTTCGCCCAAACACATTTATAAGAATTCGGTGTCACTGATGCAGATTGAACAACGTGATATAAGTATTTGGTTAAAAAAATGTCTTCTTCGTCAAACAAAATCATTTTCAACAGGCTGATAATAAAAAAGGACCTACACACAGTTAAACTAAACATGATAAAATATATAATAAACGGTATAATTTTATACAGATGCTTTGCTCAGAAACGCTTCACAAAATAAATTAGTTATCGTTTCTTCAAAATTCAATACACCCATTACCATTATCCGGTCAGAGGACCAAAGAGACGAATGACGAACTTTAGCCACCACTTACCGGATTTTTTCTACCACAGTTTTTGTTGAAAACGTGAATACCATCTTAGGTATAATTATATTATCATATTATTATATCATAGCCATACTATGATACGTCTAAATTAATTCGATTACCGTTATCACTTTTAACATGGCAACGAATTTTGTTTTCACAAATTTTCATGTAACAATTTTCGCTTCTTTTTACGCTTATATTAAAAAAAAATCTCAACTAATTGTTTTCTTTTATTTTTAGGAAATGAATGCGATAAAAGCGTGGTACGTTGGTTTCTATCTCTCGTGCGTTTTGATCGAAGCTTATCGTTATAGGCGTGAATTAAATACCCGCAAATGTAAATTGACCCATTCTGGTGTTGAATATCGAGGAAACGTGTTCACTTCCAAATTTAAGTCGTTGTGTCGACCGTGGAATTCTGTTGGAGTAAGAATAACATGTCTACGTAATATACAACATCTTGAATTTGAATTTTTGATTGAGAGAAGATAGGAGGAATACATTGGTTATGAATAATTAATTTTTTTTCGGAAATTTTTTCGGTAGTAAATAAGTTCTAAAAGTTTTATGTGCCATTATTTTTAAATCAAAAATTCAATTTTGTTCTTATGTTTATTAATTTTTTTTTTTACTCTAAGTGAGTTTTAAATATATTAATTTGACATTCAAATTATGTGCAAAGTAACCTCTTAATCATTATTATTTAGCTTAAATAATTGGAAATTTTGATCCAGTTGTAATTATATTTTTTAAAGCTTTTAAAACTTGAAATTCGGTGATTTGTAAGACTGTTGTGTTATATTATACGATGCTATCATAAAAATATGGTATAACTACTCATACTATTAACTAAATATTAACCAAATGTAAATTAATTAATAATTTGCCCAGAATACATTTTCAAATGCAACGATTTATTATTTATTACCAATGCTTTTAAATTAATACAAATAAATCCATCGGCTAAAGACAACATAAGACTACACTCGGAAAGAACTGTTATCTTACTGGCTTACTGTTTATCTTTTATTCCTATTGTTATATTATACGATTATATACGTTATATAGTTATAACTAGGGCGCGGATTTCAATGCCCTAAAAAATAATTGAAATCCGTACCCTAGTCATGACAATCGAAAGATATTTTCACGAGAATTACAATAAAACATTGAATACAAATCTGTAGCACTTATTCTTACGTAAAAATAAGATTACTAACAATGATTACTGTTGAGTCTAAATGTTAATGCATATCAATACAATTTAAAAACAATGAAAAAATAATATTGATATTTCTGTGCAGACTGAACATGATTCGGATTTCGCCGACGGGTCCCGAATGTTGGCCAAGAATTATTGTCGTAACCCCAACGGGACTCGAAAAGATCTCTGGTGCTACACCTACAATCCAGACAATTCAGTGGAATCATGTGCCGTACCTTTATGCAATTCTTACAGTAATTATATTGTAAACAATGTATTTCGTAGGTGATTAAGTTATAAGCGTTGATTTTCTGTGAAGAATAACAACAATTCGGAAGAATCATTAACGAATCACGCCAGTAATAGTGCTGGGGTAAAAAATGAACAATAAAATCGGAAATAAAACGATAGGAAATACTAAATTATCTTCATATAAATATAAATTATCTTTTTCAACAATCATAGTTTCATATATTTTTTCAAACACTAAAATCATGAAAATATATGTAGTAGTTACGAAATCGTACGTCGTACATTGGTATATTGATTGTGCTGCACAACAAAAAGTTTTTGTTAAAATCGTGTTCGGTTTCGGATTTTTAATCATTCATTGTACATGACTAGAATACGAATTCAAGTTTTGATATGGGTGTATCTTATAGCAGTTGGAATCGTATTAAAATGTTGACCGGAACATCACGCCGGATGTCACACTCGTCAAGTAAAATGCACCCCAACAACGATTTGCGTGTGGTAGTGAATCCATAGGGAAATCGTAGTAAATGTTATGTTGATATTTTAATAAAATCAGAATCTGTCGATACAATGAATGACTTTGACTATGATTCAATTATGAATTTACAATGACAACCAAATCGTTGTTAGACAAACGATGTATTTTACTTGTTTACTTTATGTATACAACACGTGTATAAAAAAATACTATAAAAAGTATTTGAATAGTTACTCGATTAATTTTCAAATAAAATACTTAAAATATCAACCCAATATTGATTTTTTATTGAAAAATATTAGATTATTATTACACAAAAACTTTTTAGAAGCACGATAAAAACCGTTTATGATAACATTCAAGACTTGTTTAACTTGATCGTAACAATCGTAATAATAATAACAACAGTCATTACGACTAAAATATTTTAAAAATCTTAATCTCGATTATATATTTATACGATTGATGAACATAATGTATTAGACGTATTGAACATTCATATGTATATGTAAAATATTATGAAAATTGGTAAAAAATATGTATGTATTTTAAAATAAAACTTACATTGTATTAAGAATGTCTGTATACTCGTACATTAAATTCACTACGTTTTACATTTAACCGATGCACACCGTTGCTCATCTGATACAAATGTACTCCATCCGAGAGACTGACGATCTCTAGGAGTCCCACGACACGGCTATGAATATCCATCGGGGGGTAACGTTGGAGCGTGGATGGCTAAAGTTCAGCCCCAGCTACGTCGTAGGGATTCCACATACATCGATGGCGGTTCTCAAACCTTTTTTTTTCGCGCACCACTCGAGTAGGTTATCAATAAGTCACGTGCCACTAATGGTTGAAAATAGAACCGTACAAACTTTACCTAGTTAATTACATTTATTTCGAACGAAAAGGCGGTGAAACACTGCGATAAAATTATTATTAATTTATCAACAAGAATTTATCATCATTTTTGAATCGATACACGAATTCAATATCAAATGTTTGATTTGCGCGTACCGCGGTTTGACTGGACAACTCCATCGACGGGCGTTCCCGAACCTCTAACCGAACAGTGTGGCGTCTCTTTTGCCCTAGGTTGCAGGATGACGGGTCCCGGCGCGGAGTACGGCGGCGAAGCGAACACGACCAAGTCCGGTAACGCGTGCCTGCGGTGGACGGACGTGAGCGGCGTCGCGGCCGCGGCGGAATCCAGGTTCCCGGACGGCGGCCGGTCGGCGGCCGGAAACCGGTGCCGGAACCCGACCGGTGACCCGGGCGGCCCGTGGTGTTACGTCGCCGTGGACGGGGCGACCGCGACCGACTACTGCGAGACGTCCGACTGCGGCGACGACGGCGGTTGCGGCTGGTCGCTGATCCACGGCGGCGGTGGTTCGACGCACGGCCATTACACGTCCGTCGCACTCGGAGCGGACGGCGATCAAGCGAGCTTCGAGCTGAGGGCCTGGGACCCGGCCGCACGCCGCGGTCCGCCGTTCCACGTGTCGCTGACCGCGTACCCGATCGGTTCCGGTGCGACCGACGGCGGCGACCACGGGGTCCACGTGCCGGTGCCGGCCGACGAGTTCGCCCGTTCCGCCGCGGCCAAGGCCGTCCGGTGGGGTGGCATTCGGCGCACCGCACGGAGACCGGCGCACCGCGCCGGCCGGCCGCCCCGGGAGCTCCTGAGTTTCCGGTGGAACGGCACCGCGTCCCCGGTGGCGTACGTCAGCTACTCGGCCGGCGACCGCGGTGCGCCGGTCTCCGTGCGGTTCCCGGAATGCGACCGAACGGCAGGTGAGACGAAACCGCGGGTGTCGCCGGGATTTCGGGGATCCGAAGTTCATTTTTAGAAAGTCGAAAAATGTATTTTTCCTACGATCAACACGATCAGGCCCGTGCGCAGGATTTCATAATGGGGGGGGGGGGGGGTTTGAAAAAAAAATGTATAACGTAGACACATCAATAATTAGCAAATAGTATTATAAAATATTTATTATTAATTTTGTGTTAGTTAAAGTGTGTTTAACAATACTATAAAATACAAATCATTTTTTTAATAAATTTACTCGACGAGGAACAGAAAAGAATTCATTCAATGCTTGGTTTATATCCACGTTTATATCTCGATGTATATTCAATGATGCCAGTCCATTTAAGCGATCTTCACCCATTGTTGATCGAAGGTAAGTTTTCAGCCGACGTAATGATGAAAATGACCTTTCGTTGTAGTTACAGGCAAAACTGACATTACACGTAAAATTTTATAAACATTTGGAAATGCATCTGCATTACAAATATCGAGGGCATCAAGGGCGTTTCGAATATTTTCACCAACTATTCGTCGTCGCCAAATTTCTACCTCACTTATCCAAAATTCTGGAGAATCGTCGAGTAAAATTGAACTGTAGGTTTCAAACAACGTTTAACAAGCAACTTTGTCTAAAGATTTGGTTTCAATAGGAAAAAGGCATGAGAAGTTAGCCAAAATATTCCGATGTTTAAGGAAACGATCCTCAAGATGAGTGATAAATAAATCATGATAGGGTATGTAAATAGTAATTTTATAATAATCTGCTACGGAGTCTGTTGTAATGTTAGAACGGTTAGTTTGACGTGATGCAAGTCTTGGTTTAGTCACAGGTATATTGTACTTCTTACAAATATCTTCTACAGTCACAAAAATTTTGTCGAAGTTATCTGTAGAATATTGTCTTCTTTGTTCAAGTTGGTGTTTTGCTGCATCTACTAACTTAACAGCCTCAACCAAATCTTGATTTTCTGTTTGTAAAACTCTACTTAATGATAAAGCCAATGCATGTACTGAATGCAAAATGTGAATTGATACTTGAAACTGTAAGGTTTTTATAGCTGAAAGGAGTTGAAAAGATCCGGATGTTGTTTTTGAATCTGTCCAAGTACTTGAAATGTTTTCCAAGGCGTCAATAATAGCTGGTTGTAAATCTATATAGGTTCCAACTGATTCATGCTATTGCACCCACCTTGTTGCGCAGTATTTTTTAAGTTTTTTTTTCTTTTCTTGTAACAAAGTGTCATTATTTTGTATTGCATCATGAAGTGCTATTTGTCGTTTTGGTGTATTGAAGAAGTTGTAAATAGATTGGACTGTACCGAGACAGTTTCTAATTTGGGGGATACTACATGCGGCACTAACTGCCAAATTGAAACTATGGGCAGCACAGTGTGAGTAGAGTGCTAAATGATACTTTTCTCTGATATACGATTGAACTCCGTGAAATTCACCACTCATAGTACTAGCCCCGTCATACCCTTGTCCAAATAAATAAGCACAGTCAATTCCAGATTGTTCAAGGAAATCCAAAATAATATTTGATAAACCTTTCCCTGTTAAATCTGCTACAGGTACAAAGCTTAAAAAATCTTCACATATTTTTAATTTACTGTCATCATAATTTAAATACCTTACACATATTGAGACTTGTTCTGTGCCGGCAATATCGGCAGTTTCATCTGCTGTTATTGAAAATGATTGAGATTTATTGACTCGTTCAATAATTTGTTTTTGAATTAAATTATGAAAGATGACAATAAATTCATTTTGTATACGGTTACTGATAAACATGGCATTTTTTGAGGAATTTTGCAAAAAAGTATTAAGCTGATCGTCAGTTTTTGCTCGATATCTTAAAAGAGTCCGAAAATTACCATCGTTAGTTAAAGGTTCTTCGGAGGTTATTCTCCCTGAATCATTTGAACCACGAAACGCCAAACCCTGCCGGCCACATAATATTAATGTTTCGATTATAGGAATCAAACATTTTTTACTTTCATTAATGAAATCTAATTGTTGTTCCGAAATTTGTAAATCAACAGGTAAAATGTTTTGGTTATCAATTTCTGCTCTCATATTTGATTTTAATAATGAAGTTTTATAATACTCTAGTGAGTTATGGTAACTAAATGATTCTAAAGCTTTTTTCCAGTTTGTAAACGGGTTTTTAACTAACAGTCCCAACGTTTGATGTCCAATTCCTCCACCTCCGACAGAAAACAGCACACAATACTTACAAAATACGCCATTCATAATTGCTGAATAAGTCAACCATTTATATTTGAGCAACCAACTTCTTTGAAATTTTAAATTTCTTTTTTCGGAAACAGGAAATTTATAGTTTTCTGGAGGTGTCCAAATCAAAATTTGAAGCCCCGGAAACAAGTCAATAGTTTCAGTTGCAGGTTTATTCACATATAATCCTATGTCATGTTGGTGCACAATCTCTGGAAGTGACACTGATACATTTGTTTCAGGAGATGCATTTTTCGCTGGTTCAGTTGGTTGTGACTGGTTATTAAAACTATTTTCCTGTAAATAAAATGTGAAAACTAATCAGATTAATTTAATAATTCATAATTGTGTTTATAGATTTAAATATTGCATTTAATAAAATGTGGTATACAAAATATTTCAACAACAATTAACAATATATTTCAAATCACAAACGGGATGACTATATTATGTTCTATAGTACGCGCGAAAAATAAACATATCTCTATACTGACTATAATATAATAATAGTCCAATTTAATTTTTAAAAATGATTTGGATTATTAGTATTGAATTAATAGTAATTATAATTAATTTTAATGTACTTACTATCTCATCATTTTCTAGACGTGGTTTTTTGAAAAAATGTCGAATGTCCATTTTGATCATCAAAATTTAATGTTATTTCTAACGGCGTGTTTGTTTAACGAACGTGAACGTTTCACTGTGAGCTTACAATCGTTGTGTATGAACACTATAAACTATGATTATAAACAACTTTTAAAATACCTGAAATCCGTTATCGTATAATCTCATGTTCTACTAATTGCAGTCGAATAAAATATTAAATATTATTGTGCAACGTGTATGCTCTATACTTATGTTCAAACATTTTATTGTCATTATATTTTATCGATAACGGCAACGATGACGAAAGTCGATAAACAGTAAACGTGAAGACAACACTACATTATATTATTATAGGTAGTATTATTGTACTATTATATTATTATAGTATTATGTTTTGCATTATTATTTATTACAAATATGATTAGAAAATATTACATAAAGGTAACAGATCAAAAATGAAAAAGACGATTTTTTCGGCCATGGGGGGGTTTGAACCCCCCCCCCCCCCCCAAGCGCACGGGCCTGAACACGATAGCGCTGGCTGACTCTTCTTCATAACTCATCTTGGTACCGCCTGCAGTCCTGCTTATCGTCCGTACCGGACCCATCGCATGATATGATTATTTTGGATACAATCGACACATGATAAACGTCGAGTGTATTTTTAAGATCTACGACTGTTTTTGGGGAGGCGAAAAGATACCCTTGTTGCCCCGCAACGATTCCTGGGTTAGCAGAGATACCTCTCGATGCTCCTCGGTGACGCTTATGAGTACACGGCCCGGTGCGTCGCACATCATTCCTGGTTGCGTTCAGCGTGCCGACGGAGGAGGGAACCGTCCGTGTGTCGTCCAGTTTTTGCGCGAAAACCACGTGCGCGCGTTCGAGATATAGGTTTTTTAGGCAGTCGAACGTCGTCCCTTGGACGGGACGTTTGCGATTCGATATTTTTTTTTTTTTTTGCGATAAAAACTTTCCGCGAATCGTGTTTTTTATCGGTTTATAGACGATCAGTGCAATGACACACACGTACATAAAGTAAAACGCGAACGAAAGGGTGATGCAGATGAATGATCCAAGGCGATAGAACACGATTGAAATAATAGGATTGATAACACGAGGGTAAAATAACCCTAACGTAAGGTAAGGGGCGCTCGTAACGTTTAAAAGTTTGTCGGGAATCACTACATGCGATCGTATTTTTTAATATCGAATACGACTTTTGAGGGTGTCGAGAATATATCGCCATTTAACAACAGTGATTTCATAGTTCGGTAAACACGTTTTTCGTTCGTATGTCGCTGAAAGATATCTATCAAAAAACTTTTTTGCGTGCATACAGTATTTACCGAATAATCATCCCCGTCCGACGTGGGGGGGCGGTAATGGATGACCATTTGCAGACGTAATAATATGTCATTTCGTTATGTTTTAGGACGTGAAGAACACGTGACCAACAATCAAAACACCTACAGGTTATTTCCATTGAAGAAAACCATGATTTTCAATTCCGAACTGTCGTTTTCTGTCCGATCTGTGATTTCGGCGTCCGTTACGTATTACACTGCGCCCGTTAAACCAACGCCATGCTTAACCGTTAGTTGCGATTAACCGTCTATGTTATGCATATATTTATACGTTATTAATAATAATTGGAGTTTAATAAACTACTGCTCGACTAAAAACATTCGGTAAGTTGGTACAACGTTCAGGCACAAATATTACCCCGCGCGCTAAATTGTTGTCGGACGGCGGTGACCGGTGAATACTAGTGTTTTTCACAATTCATACAATCATGAAGTACAATAAGGAAATATTGATTGAATATCATATAAGATCTTTTTCATAATGTTTACGGAGATAACTAATAAATAATACGTGATACGTTAGGTATAATGTTAACAGCAAATAGCAATAAAATCTATGGGTTTTTTTCGTTTTTGTTTTTAGATAATCATTGAAGCTCAACCTGAAAAACAAATAAAAATAATACACAAAGAAAAGTCAACAAATGAAGAACAGGTGATTTTCCAACAGTCGTATGAAAAAGACATATTATCATATTGGGAATGGCACCAATATACGATCACGTTAGTTGTGTTATAATGTAAAATCGAAATATTTTCATACAAGACCAAATAAAACATTTAAGACTTCAAACTCTTTAAAAAAGAAACTACTCACATATGTGTAAACTAACTGTTGAACTAACTGTTCTTAGTCGCTAATCACCCTACATACACTGGTATTAATAACTAATTATTATTTCTGTACATAATTTAATTGTTGAATGTTTGAAGTTAAATATTATAGGTACGTATATTTAAATACGTTGGATTCGATTAAATCAATAACTTGTTAATTGTATTTATTTTTATCGTATTTTTTTTCAGAATTGTAGACAAAACTTTACAAGTTCAAATCACAAATGAACATCATAAGAACCCCACAGTCATATTAAGTATAACCGATTACAAGTTGAGATTTTTTCATTGGTTTTCGATTGGGTCGAAAACCGTTGCTCACTGGACACTGTATTGCAGTGGACCTGAATGTAAATTTTCTATATTTTTTTTTTTTATAAATATTTATAAAGTTTTCCAAATACAATATGATAAATAACGTAGTGAAAACATTTTGCTGAGTATATGCAATTACCGTTGCAAGTATTTAAATTTTACGTTTAGGAGGATAGGAGAGATACTTATGATTCGTAATATTATTATTAATACATTGAAAAAGTTTGGATTTGACTGTTAAATAAATTATTTATACGAGATTACATTGCATAACTTTTGTACGTTGTTTTAAATAATCAAATCCTTTGGTTTTTTTTTCAGATTACCCATTGCCTAAAGCTGTATTACCTGAATGTTCGATGTCGAAGTCGGGTGTCGACTACCGCGGAACTCAGTGGATCGATGGAGACGGGCAACCATGCGTCCCTTGGAACGTGTCGTCGGTGCGAAAAGTTAGTATAGAATATGCATGTATGATATATTTGTGTACTACTGCTACGGTTACAGTAGAACAAAAAACTTCCAGGTTAGATCAATCTGTTTATATTACAAACCACGGCCGTTAAAAAAACTGTGGTCATAAAGATGTTCCAAATGAAAATTTCTCTTAAAAAAAAAAACATACTGGCTAGGGCTAAAAACTTCACAAGTAGTGGGTGGTTGGTAATTAATTAAATGTCATTGTTGGCTATCGTCAAGACGGTGAAGGAGAGCGCGTTGATCGACGGTAGTTACGCAAAAGCCAAGAACTACTGCCGGAATCCGACTAAGGACCCCGAAGGACCGTATTGTTTCGTAGCGATTGGCAGTGATCGCGACGCACGGACCGTGGCGGTATTCGAAAAAAGATTTTGTCGCGTTCAAAAATGTCAAAATACAAGTGAGTAGGGATACGTTTCATTGGCCCAGCTGCGTCGGTATTCTGGTAGACGATGAATTCACTTTGCAACCATAATGATCAACCTTATGCAGGACCGTATTTAAGATTTCTACCCCCCAGCAGCAACAACATTTTGTCGCTCCTATTCTCTGAATCGTAAAACCGAAAATAAGTGTCTCCATCTATTCATTAAAAAACCACTTGCAATTTGTTTTCTCCATTTCAGTGCACTATTACACAATATTTGTAATTTATATAAAATCCAAAATAATAACAGAGTTATAATTATACAAATAAAGTTAAAGAAAATAGTCTTTTTTAAGACTGACGGTGGTACCCTAAAATAATTTAGTACTTTTCGGTCTAAATGTCACATCCTCATACAAATCAAGATTGAACCAACACCTATATCTCAATAAAATACCATTTCAAATAAAATACTCTTAAATAGATATTTATATTTGTACGCTACTAAATAATATAAATGATTTTATAGTACAACCTTTATTTTATATAATTTTATTTATTCAAAAATAATTTTCCATTGAGAATGCGAAAAAAATCGATTCAGTTTTATTTAGAATCACCGTAAAAATATTGCCGGCCTTTTAAATATTGCAGGGGGGCCTATTGCCTCTCCAAACCACCCCTTAAATACGGCCCTGATGCTATGAGTAATACTATCCAGTATGAATGGACAGACTTATGATGATTAGATATTAAAAAAATATTTAAACGGGAATTCGTATGCTTACGGGAAAAAGGTTTATGATTTTTAATATCACACCAACAATTGTGCATATACTTCTAAATGATAAGATTTTATTCAGGTAACTTCAATACGTCACCATTACACCTGATTAAAATATAATTCTTCTTCTTCTTTCTTAGCTTAACGGTCCCTGTAGGACCTGAGCTGCCACAAACAATACTCTCCATCTTTCCCTGTCGAATGCCAGGTCAACTGTCACATTTCTTCCCAACATCTTGAAATATTTCTCTACCGCAATCTTTCCACCTCGTTCGTGGTCTGCCAATCGGTCTTTTTTTTATTTATGGTCTCCGTTAGTATTTTTCTTATGATGTCATTATTAGTTCTCCATACATGTCAAAACCATTCCATTCTCTTAATTTTTATATATGACGAAATATTGGGTTTTAAATATAGTCTGTATAGGTAGTCATTCTTTCTTCTCTCGAAAATTCCTAACTCTGTATTATATATTGGGCCAAAAATGTTTCTTAGTAGCTTTCGTTCGAATATTGCCAATCTGTTGTCATCACCTTTCGTTGAGGACCATATCTCACATGCATATATGATTACTGGTCTCAGATAGCTTGTATAGAGCAAAGTTTTTGATTTTCTTGACAGTAATTTGGACTTTAGTAGCTTACTTATACTGTGATAGCACCGGTTCCCACTAGCTATTCTTTCACTTATTTCTCGGTGCATGTAATTTTTACTATTTATGTTCACTCTTAGGTACTTGAAGTTTTCCACTTTTTCAAAGGTTAAATTACCTACTTATAAGTTATATTGATTTTCGTTGCTTCTAGAGGGAACCATAAATTTAGTCTTCTCTTGATTTACGCACAGCCCTATCTTTTTACTAGCTTCCAATAATTCAGACGTAGTTTGTAGTTGATGTAGTTTCTTGTCTGGTGTTACCTAATATGACTATGTCGTCTACTTACACTAATATCGATTTTTATCTACTGTCTCCACCTTTTGTTTTTGGGTTAATTCTCTTATGACCTTCTCTAAAAATATTAGTGTCGGGAACAAGGCATTGTCTTGCCGTAGCCCTAAATTAATTTCAAATCCCGATGATAGCTCTCCTAGAAATTTTACTTTACGTATGGTCTTGGCATTGCAGAGTTTCTTTGGTATATCAAAGGTAATCATAGCTTTCCATAACTCTTCTCTATGTATACTGTCGTATGCTTGTTTGTAGTCGACGAATACCATATTGTACTTGTTTGAGAATGAAAATTTGATTTGTTGTTGATCTACCTTTTCTGAAACCACACTGGTATCTTCCAACCATCTCCTCGGCAAAGAGAGCTATCCTCTCTAAAAGGATTGACGATAGTACTTAGTAACAGATATCTAAGAGAGGTGATTCCTCGGTAATTTTTTGTTTCCAGTATCTCCTCTCTAAAATATTGGACATATTATGGCTGTATTCCATTCTTCGGTTATCTGTTGTTTCTCTCAAATTATGTTGATCAGTTTCCACATTTCATTTTTACTGTTCCAAACATGATACAAACAAAATAAACGTATGATACATCATGGTAATCGTCTGCACGTCATAACACGAATATTGTTCGGATGTTACAGAATGTAGTGTAGTCGGAATCGCGACGGATTACATCGGCACCCTCGATAAGACGGTGTCAAATCGGACGTGCTTAAAATGGGTATGTATATCAACGTTGTATTATTATTTCGATTTTATTTTTCTCGTAATGCGACTATATCGTTCACTTTAATTTTAATCCGCAGATCGACTACGATACTTAATATTATTTAACTACCATGATTATAATTATTTTGCATTAATAACGGAATTAATCTCTTAAGTACGTAACTTAACTTTACCAATCAAATTTAATTATTTACATAATAGGGTTTTTACGTTCCATTAAGGCGATCCTTATTTTAAAAATATATATATATATATATATATTTAATTTATATTTATCTATCAATTTAATTTATCTACCGCGGCGACTATCAAGGTACAATTTTGTTTGCAGAATAAGAACTGACGAGCAATCCTTCTGTAGTTGTACTCGTAACAATTTTTACTCCATCCCCTCGCTGCACGCGGTTGAACGTAGTATCAATATTTTTGATTTCTTTAACAATTTTAAGGACAACGTTTTATTTATCAACCGACAACATATGTAATTACGTACTTGTGGACACTGGAGATTAAACATTTATAAAAAAAAAAACAAATATACATTGTTTTTCTGCGGAAAATATGATTTGACGCGACTGCAATAATGTATCGAAATCGATTCTACACACACGTGATTTCCACTACAGATACGAATAATGAAAACGTTAGAAAATTGGCTGTGGTGAATTCCACCACAAATATTTTCATGTCGAATTCGAGTAAAACGTATTGAATTAGTTCCGCGGTGAACAAAAATCTTTAAATATTTCGTAAACGAAACTTGTTGGGTTATGCAAAACTAAAATAAATATCCTCCCCGGTCGTTTTCGAGACCATTAAGAGGACTTCACGCCCGCACGTTTCGTCACTGTCTGACATACGTACAATACAGCAAATTTGCGTTCAGCAATTCAAATGTAGTGATGTTAGCTTTTATATTAAAGTAAACCGACCTATAATCAAACTTTAAGGGAAGAATCAGTGTTATTCGGTAGGTTTTTTCCGATATTTTAATTGTTAAGCGTGTTGTGATTATGTAAAATATAACAATATAAAAAATATCGAAACTCGCTAAAAAAAAAAAAAACCTAACCTAACCGTTCGGACTGTTCGGCAGAGCGCGGCGGCGAAAATCGTCGGCGGCCGCAGGGAACACGTTTTCTCGGACGGGTCCGGGTCGCGGTCGACGAACTACTGCCGGAACCCGACCGCGGAACCGACGGGCGCGTGGTGCTACACCAACGGCGCCGAAACGGACTTGTGCGACGTGCCCGTGTGCTCGGTCGACGGCGACCACTCCGGGACGCTGTTGGCCGGCGGCCGCGGCCGCGGCGTCCACTGGCTGTACGTGTTGCCCGAGTGGAGGAACGCCGGCCTGCGGGTCCGGCTCAAGCTTTGGGCGCCCGGCGTCCGTCGCGGGGCCGTCTCGTTGCGGTTCCGACGCGCCGGCGGCCGCGGCCCGCACGACCTGCTCCGGGTGGACGGCGAAACGGTCCGGTTGTTTCGGGCCGGCAACGAGTCCGCCGTGGAGCTGGTCTACCCGCGCCTGGTGATGGCCGCCCGGTGGACGGAGCTGTTGTTCGAGTTCGTGGAGGCGGCCGCCACCGTGGTCTTGAGCACCGCGGCGGCCGGTGAGATGTTGCGTTGGGACAACGGCGACGACGACGGCCGCGTCGCGTTCTTAGGGCTGTCCGCGGAAGGCGACGATTACCACGTGGGCGCACGGTTCCCGTCCGAAGGTCAGCACGAACGCTGTTCGCGTACGACAATGAGATTTGAATTTGAAATTCGATTAGAAATTCAATTTCTAACCAACGGAAACGTTCCGTGAAATCTAAACGTTCCTTCTAATCGTTCGAGTCGCGAGTCTAACACGTACGCCAAGGCTGTCGATTGTTTTCCATCAATCGCCGTGTTCGTTGTTGGATTTGCTCATATTTTTCATAACCATCGCTGCGTGTAATACAGTTTTTAACTCAGTCCAAGTCAAAACGAGTTTTCCGGCGCTACATCGAAGACAAATAAATCGTATAAACACTCCTGTGCGTTTTCACGTTTCGTATTCACTGTTATTTTCGTCGATGTCTCTCGTGCGTTTCGGTTGATTTGATATTATAACGTTTCACTAAGAATGAATAATAAACCCCTTCTCTTATTTACTTTTAAAATTAGTTTTGCGGATAAAATAAAATGACCGTTATAAAATTCCAGTCCTAAATCCATGAACCGCGTAAACGCTGCTACTGGGCCTTGTATCGTCGCCGAATACGTTTCGTTACGTTTCTCGTTAGAACTCACATTTTTGTCTGGTTTTTGGAAAGCAGTTATGCTCCACAAAAATGATATAGAGATAACTATGCAATAAAGAATATTATTATTTTTTAATTGTATTTATAACGGTCAAAACAGTTTAGGGCTGGATTTTTACTTATAAAGCGCCTAGAAATCTATTTTGCTATTTCGTGTGTTGATTTTAATAGATACTGATTGAGGTATACGTAAATGATTTTATAATGGTTTAACGGTTTATATGAATAAAAATAAATATCGTCGAAATACTGGGGTTTTAACAATTTTTTTTCCGAAATATCAACCGCTTTAATCTGAAATAGTAAAATATCTCCCGGGCGAGGCCACGAGTGATCAGTACAGCATAGATTATTGTATAACAACAATGACGATATCAAATCGCTTTTGTCTAAAATTAACCGTATCTCTTTCGCAAGTTTATCATCGTTGAATTGTTCACAGAATGTCTCGTTCATAGTTCCGAGTCCAATAATTTTTCCGTCTTCTTACCGATCAATGTCCGGACAAACAAAAGTCTTACGATGGCCAAGAAAGAAATCGTTTTCCGCGTGAGACACACAGGTATGTGTTATTTTTACGATGTGCGATGATCACGCGATACTATCGGAGGGTGGTACGTACGGCGGTAGCGGCCATAGGGCGTTTCACTTCGGTAAAAAAATAATAATTAATTTCCAAACCCCGCAGGCGTCACCCGCGTAGCGTTGATCAAGCGCACCTTGGACGAACGGTACGTGCTGGAACTGGACGGGCACCGAGCCACGTTGTCGCGCGAAGGGCACGGCCGTTGGCCGGCCGGAAGAACGGTCGACGCCCACCAGTCGGAAGACACCACCGCGGCCTCGGGCACCGGCGCTTGGACCCGGATTCATATCAGGTGACAATCTCGCGACCGCGTAATTAATCAGTGTCACTTGTAAAAGATTTTCTTTTTACGCATTTGCATCAAAATCCTAGCCCTGCTTATTAGTTACGAAAAAAAAAAAACACGGGGAATCTTATAGAATTTTATCCTTTACAAGTTTATGACGGTTGTTTTGGGGTCAAGGGTAAACCCAAACAACGGAAAAATAAGCCTTGCATGTATAAATAAATAATTTATTTAAAGTTAATATTAAAATAAATAAAATATTACGATACATTTTAAACGTTAATGTATTCTTTACTTTAACATATATGTATCAAACTAAAGTTGTATAGAATTAGATATTTTACGGAATAACTAGTTAAAGTTATCATTTTCATGTATGATTTCATGCTTTAACTGGAACATGTCTGCGTGCGCGCGCGCGTTAAAACCCGTTCGATATCGGCCTAATGTTCTGTTCGGAAACGGATTTCGTTTGTTTGACCGTTTTTACAACTGATTTTGACGGCAAGTACAGCTGGAACGAGACCATCCTGAGATTGAACAGCAGCGGCGGAGGCGGTTACAGACAGTGGAACGTGGTCGACCGGCCGCTGCTGGTCCGATATTTCTCCGTGGCCAATCGCGGCGGCCGGACCACGTGGACGGTGAACTGCGACGAGCGGTGGCGGCTGCCGCCGGACGTGGACGGCCCGCCAAGGGACGGTGGCTGGAGCGAGTGGGGCGAGTGGGACGCGTGCACGAAGACGTGCGGCGGCGGGACAGGTGTACGCCGCCGGCGGTGCGACAAGCCCAGGCCGAACTTCGCGGGCAGGCCGTGCGCGGGCCCGACCACGGTGGTCGGCAGGTGCAACGAGCACGAGTGCGGCCGGGTGTCCGTCAGGACGGCGGCCACGGTGCGCGGGCTATTGGCGGCCGGGGCACGCAACATGGTGGTCGTCGCCGGCGGCCGGTTGACCGTGCGGTGCGACCGGTCAACGGTGAACGCCGTTAGGGCGGACTCGCCTAGCGCCCGATTCAGTTGGCTGCGCAACGGCAGGTCCGTGCCGTCCGCGGGGCCAGCCGACGACGACCGTTGCGCGTACAGTGAGTGCAACCGAGGATTTCGGGCAAAGAAAAATCCAAAAATCTTTCTCGTCGTCCGACGAAATGTGTTTATATCGTTATTTTTATTTATTTTTTTTTTTTTATCGAAAACAAAATGTGCATCGAGTATACGCCGATAAAAGAGTGTAAAAGAAAGTTAAAAATATCACACCCGAAAATCAACGTCCGTAAGATGGTGTTCGTTGGCCGGTCATAGTCACGACTAGGGCTAGTGGTGGTTGGAAGAGTATCGTAGCAGCACCTACCTACAGGAACCTACGCCTCCCCCGTGACCCCGTTTCACTGACTCTCTTACTACGTGCAATTCGATACAGATGATTAAAGTTCACATCAAGTCTAATCGAAATTTTAAATCTTGCCCACGTTCAGTGGCGTAGCCAGGATTTTTAAATGGGGGGGGGGGCTAACCACTTTTTTGAATAACTAAGGTAAAAGAGGATATGAGAATTCACCCTTAACCCCCCCCACCATCTACCTCCACCAAGTTTCTTAACGTAATTCAAGCATTTTAGTATAGTTTTAAAAATATTTATTAATATATAATTTATAATAATAATAATAATAATTTTTGGTTTCAGTGTTCAGTCACTTGCTCCACTCTGACAACTGCATCCTCTTAGGCGAATTTCTGGCAAATTCAGTTATTATTTCACTTTCATCGAATCACTCTTTTTTATTTATATTAGCCATAGCTAACCCATTCAGTCTGTTTTCCGACATGGTGCTTGTTAAAAAATTTTTTAAGCGATTAAGTGCTGAAAACGTTCTTTCCGGAGTGAAAGAGGTAACTGGTAACGTGGCTAATAATTGTAAAAGTATTTTAATGTTAGGTCGAAGATTGGTGCGATGAGAGAGTGAATCAAGAGCAGAATTCGGTTTTGGAATAGTATTTTGACTCCACTGTTGCCTCCATATGAACAGGTCAGCTCTGATTGTAGATGAGGTATCATCATGGAGATCTTGGACATATATTTTAGTAGGTTTTATAATATTTTTATCGTCATACATTTTGTATGTACATACAAATTGGCCGGAATAAGTCCTTCAAGTGGCATAACATCAATAAGCCTTTGATTAAAACGAGCATCCATTGATTCTATTAGTCAAGATACATTATACATATAAACACGGCCCATGGGGGGGGCTATAGCCCCCTCCCCTTGGCTACGCCACTGCCCGCGTTTAAAACGTGTTTTATTTACAGCACGTAAACGTTATAAAATCAATTTTCGATATGGGTAAAACAAAAGGCGCTCGGCATTTTCCATTGATCATTATTACGGGACCGACGCCTCCATCGAATGTAACGTGATTATTCGGTATTCGGTTAGGAACAGCGAACGTCCACCGATAGAGAGTAACATGGGATCCCTGCACTAGACACTCGAACTTCCCCCGATCAATATTTATAGGCCTGTTGCGGAACCCGAGGCAGATTTTTTCACATGACCAACATATGTACATCGGATTTTATGTTACTCGAGTCCCGAGATTCGTCGACCGTTGTTCTACGCATTATTATTGACCGTTAACGAGCTGATGTATCTGGCCGCCGTCGTACAATAATACATTCGAGCCGGTTTGGCTGAAACACAACGGAGAAGTGTTTGGCTTGCACATTAACGTTATTCAACTGCTTTTGAAATGTATAATGCGCGTAAAAATCATTTTACAGTGCAACAACCAACTTGTTTCAGCTATAAATTCGTGTACAAATCAAGATTCCGGAGTATACACATTTGTGGCACAGACACAGGGAGCTCCGATAATTGTGTTGAACATTTATGCCGTCTCCATTACCAACGAACCAGTATCAGTGTATATAAAAGATTCGGTTCCTGTTCGGTGCAACGCAATCGCATTGGGTTACTTGTTCACCGGGTTATCACAAAAATGGATTGTCAACGATAGTTATGTAATAAAGAACTATGGAACCAACGCTCTAGCATCAGTATTTGATTCAGTCGCATCAGTAGTAGTTTTATTATAAAAGACTGGAATTATATCTGTTAGTGAGAAAGGTGCTAAACATGAATTATGCGGTGTAAAATGCCAAAATATTCTCGAATTCGGTAACAAAATAGTACCAGATTAATATTATTTTTGTAAATCTATGCAACACAATATTTCTTTTTCTTTTTAATAACACTGCCAATTACCCACATAATAAAATAAAAATAATCTTTAAGGCAAATGACAATTATATTAATTTTAAACATGTAATTATTAAAATAACAAATTTTAAAACTAAAGAATGTTGGACTTTTTGTCCATTCAAAATGTTTGTCAATAGACTTCCTATAATAAACGGGAATGATGAAATATTAAAAGTATTAGAGTTCAGTTTCTCATTAAGTATATTAAGTAAATAAATTATATTTCCACAGAACAAAATATACATTCATCTTTTAAATATACATCAATATATAAAATAAAATAATGTGTGATATCGGTTTGAATTAAAATATTGACACTTAAAAACCCAATCAATGATGCATATGATCAGTAAAAAACACGTAAATTCATATAATTCTGGTCTCTAGTTATTATGTGTTATACAATTATCAAGTGAAATAAATTTGCAGATCGATTCAGATACAATAATGATAGAAAACATACACTATCAAGGCACTTGGAAATGTATTGTCAAAAGTATTGAAATGAATAGTACTTGGGTCACTAATCAAATGGAGGTTAAAGGTTCATTAAATTATACTTGTATCTTTAAAAAAATAAACTTACAACTATTTTCTAAAAAAAGTAGTTGGAATATCAACCATATGGACACGAATGATGCGAGATCCAATAATAAAAATAATGTTTCAAAATAGTTCACCTAAAATAATTGTTTTGGTTTGTACAACGTTTACTTTGAGTTTATGTGTTAGTACTTGGAGCTGCGCTTGTTTATTAAATAGGTAAAAATAATAAATATTAATTATTTAAGAGCAAAAAATATTAGCTGACGCCTGAATGTGAATTTTATTTCAGGTGGCGAAAAAAGTTGTTGGAAAAAAATTCCCAATCAAGACATAATGGAATTTCTTATCATCGTTTGTAAAAAAAAAGAAGAAATTATTAATTTTGTAAATATTTCTAGGATGCATATACATTATATTAATACGTTCAACTTAGATTTAAATTATGTAATTGTAAAACATGTATGTTGATTAAATGTAGAAGCCTTTAAAGCATATTCCTCAGCAAATGTATCTGACTCTTCATTATTTAAAGTTGTTAATGCTTGATGGTATATATTAGACACCATTTTTGGTGACCCATACTTTAACTCGAAAAATATTCGGTCCATCCACAAATCTAAAAAAAAAAATAGGATTCATATTTTTGAAAATTAATAATTTAAAATATCTCCAGAGGTTAAGTATAACTAACCGATATTTTCTTTACCAAACTTCATGCATGCTAATGTAAAATGCTGCCTGATCTTTGTTACATCAATTTTCTCTTGTTCAATTTCAATAGTCACCTGAGTCTTACATAAACTTGCATCACAGAAGTTGTTGATCATCAATTTATTGTATGCGTTTCGAGAATCAGTCAAGGATTTATTTTTGCTTAACCATAACAGATATTCATTTCCAAGTTTCTTTTTTACATCAATTGCACAAGTAGAATTATCTTCAAATGCCATATTGAAAATTTCACTCAATTGTGACTCATTTGAAAAACATTGTACCATAATAAGCCATACACTGGGGGAAACTATATGGATATTCTCTTTGAATATCTTATAAGCAAGTAGTTTGTCATTATTGGCAAGTCTTTCAATTCTTTTATCCAAAATACTTTGATCATTTGGATATTTTTCTGTTGCCCAATCTACAATTTCATTGAACATAGAAGAACTTTTGGATTTGTTCATCTAAATTAAAAAAAGAAAAAATATAAAAATGTTTTACGTTTTAAAAAAATGATCTCTTACCCATGCAATATAATGTTTTGGTTTCAATTTATTTTTCTGGTGAGCATTAAACATAGATTGTCTTAGTAGATTTCTTTTATAAATTTCAGTTTTTTCAGTATCAGATGTTAATTCTAGTATAGTAGTCAAATAGTAGTCCCACATTTCATCAGTGTCAATAAATGATAATGCTTGATCATATTTATCAAGACAATTTCTAAAAAAAAAAAAAAAATGAGAATAACATTTTGCGATTTAGTTAAAATTGTAATTTATAGGAAAAAATGAATAAGTTCATACTTAATTCTAAGTTTTTCTGTTACAATAGATTCATTTATTAATTCAAGGGTAGCAAATTCATTCCAAAATTTTGGTTCACAACCAAATTTGCTTAACATATAACTAAAAATAAAAATGATAAATTATTTAATTTTTCTATTAATTTATTAATATTTATTAATAAAAAATAAAATATTTGCTATAACTTTAAATGTCTAATAAAATTTTTTTTAAATTAATTCAAAAACAATATTTCATTAATTAAATTTTAAATAATTTAAAACTACACACAAATATTTGTTTTGGTATGCTATAAATTGGGCTTGTAAGATTATGCACTAAAAAGCGCATAAAAAAGCATGTACTAACATTTGATAAATAAAATATGCATTCGAATATCCACTAAATAATTCAAAATTGCATTTATATGCATTAAAAATCTTTAATTATGCACGAAAATAAAATGTATAAGCATTTTTTATTTAAAATAATAAGAACTATCATTTCATATTTTTAAATTATATTTTATTTCTTTAATTACGTTTTATTCAAATTATAATTAATGAATACACGTTGCAACAAAAATAAATTGATACATTGCAATGTACATGTCAATAGGAGGTTGGTAGTAGTGCCTTTAGAACATTGTTTCCATGGTACTGCTTTCAACTTATAAAACTCAAGGTTTTATAAAAATAAAAAAACTGATAAAATACAAATATTTGGTAAGCATGTTCGGAAAATTAAATAAAAATGAATTCTAGCATTTATTGATTTTGCTGAATTAACATAAAATAATATGAAAAAAATCAACTATTTGCCAAATATGCCAATACACACAAAACATACAAAAACAAGCTCTATTCAATTTAACATTTTTATAATCATTGAGATAGAAAGGATTTGTATCTCACTTAGCATGTTTTCAGTGTAACAAAAAAAAAAAAACATGTAAATGCATGAACTTATGAGCCCTGGTTATAAAGCATTTAAAAATTATCAAGGTTACTAAATGTTAGAATTGATTGATTGAACTCATGTAAAACTTTAAAAAAATGTAAAGTTGAGATTATTGACTATAGGAGAGATAATTATTTAAATATCATAACTTCGAGGCTTTTTAGGAGTAAATTTGTGAATAAATGTGGTAAAAATGAATTTGGAAGGGTATATATTTAAACAGCATAAGCTATAATTTTTTATCCATTTTCATGACTTATGTGTAATTAAATAATGTTTTAAAATTCTGGTTTCATAATAAAAATAATAAATAATAATAATCTTTACATATGAATGCTACCTTTTTATTTCATTCACTAAATTATTTGCAAAACTATACTGGGAAGCTTCTCTTAACATTTTAAAAAAAACATTGATATCACTTTTTATAGTATCAGTAGCTGATTGAAAAATAACTTGTGCTACTGATCCATTTAACGCAGGATCATTATCACTGACTTCTTTTTCTAAATTAAAAAACAAAAAATATAATTTCATAAATGTTAAAAAAAAAACATACAGATATCAATAATATTTAACTGAATATTAACCTTTAGCCAACACTTTTTGCCGAAGAATTTCTGAAAAAGCAAGTTCATATTTAAAGGCATAGTAATGTAAATCCGATGAAGTTTTATGAGTATGTATTCCAATAGTGTACATTTCTCTAATTTTTTGAATATTTGGATACGCAGATTTCACTGCAAAAACATATAATTCATCAGAGATGTTACCATGTAATGAAAGCGCTTTATCTATAACTCTGTGTAATAATTCTTTTCGTTTCTGGAAAATAATAAATTATTATTCGCATTAAAATATATAATAAATTAATGATAAATGATTGAGTATATATATATATATATATATCTTAGATAGAGTTGTATGCCTAGTATTCCAGTATTATGGTAAGATTTTGAAAAGTGTAAAATATAATATATACAATATATCTTCATTCTTAGTACAGTAGTTAATAGTTAGTATTTAATACATCGAAAAGTAAATAAAAAACTTAGTGTAAATAATAAAATATACAGTTTTCTAACCATGTACGTATCGCGAGAAAATAAATATATTAATTTATAAATGAACTTGTTTACAAGTTTTTAAAGCCATAACAATGTTAATTTTGGTTTACACAAGAGGCTATAAGATTGCACAAGAACGAACGCAAACCAAAGAATACTTACAATTTTTATCAAAAATTTAATATACTCTTTCCAGAGTTTCACGTCCGCAATGAAATATTTAAGAGCCGCACGATACAGAAACGTGATGCGAGTATTGATCTTGTTGATGAGCCTCGAGGATTCGATGTTAGGAGTGTCCATCTGGTAAAACAAACAGCGCTCGACAATCTAATCGTACACACTACGAATGAGTATGATGATTACACATACCTGTTCCACTTTTTTGATAATGGACTTCAAATATGCGATGTAATTTTTGAAATCCGCTTCAGTCTTGTTGCGGCGCATCAGCCCGTACTCGAAATTCTCCCGTTTCTTTAGTATACGCCTGCGGAAAAAGAGAACGTCGATGGTTACACTCGAGCGCGACGTACGCGGATACTCACTTTACGGTTCTCTCGTCGAAAAGCGTTTTGAGCATTGGGATTTCGATCATCATTTGTTCTTTGCGGTGCTGCACGAATTCCGCCATTTTGGAGTCGGTGTGTTCTGCGGGCGAATTCAGGAAAACCTAGAGACCCTTCGGATCCTGGGCGCATAGATAAAGGACACTGGCGGACGAGCAGTCGTGAGAAAATTGAAAAATTGTTATCACTGCACGTGTCGGTTGCTCGGCCGCGCGGTCGGTACAGTACAAGTTGAATGTTCGCCGTACTGTCGTAACATAACCTCAAAAAAAAAATAATACTAATTTTCGAAAATGCAACTTGATCCACAATGTTAATACGGATCAGACACGGGCCCTGCGATTCAATTCCAAGAGTAAAAGGCCCGTCTGCTGCCCGATGTTGCTCGGATTGAATTAAGTTTATTCTAAAATATTTGGGGAAAAAAAAAAACGTAATGTTCTAAATTTTCTTGCAAAAATGTATTGTGTTTAGGACCTACATACCACAATATTAAATATAAAATTAAAGTTATAGCAGAGGAGTCATTTCAAATTTTGAAAGGGTGGGGCTACTGATTAAATTTACCAACTTCATAATATTTAAAAAATTATGGTTACATATATATTTAAATATTTAATATTTATGGACGATAGATTATCAATAAAATATTTCGTTATATGACACTTTTAAGAAATACATGGATTTATGACCCACAAATGTAACATCGGATAGATTTTTTTTTAGCTATAAAAATGGTTAATGCATCAAGCAGGTTATTGGAAAAAATAAAACTAGAAATATGCCTAAAGAAATTGCAATATATTTAAATTGACTGTATTCCCGAGCTGATACAGGTCGTTTTTTCGGCCGAACTTCATCAACATCACTTAACGATTATGCTGGTGATGTTACAACTAGTGATGGGAATAATCAAATGGAATAATCGAATGATTTTAATAATCTAAATAATGGCAACAGACATATTTACCAAAAGCAAATCAATTAAAATTATTAGAATAATTGCGTGTTTTACTCATTTCCCATTGGGTACTGAATTAAGAAGTCGACTGTCCGTCAGTATTATATTGTAATTGTTAAAAATAATAAAATTACTGAGTTTAACTGAAACTACATGTACCTATTTGGTAAGGGGCCCAGCTTTTATAATTTTTGAGAGGGTCTACCAGGATTTTTCCGGTATCCCGGTGGACCGGTACGCGCCTGTATGAGCTCAATTTTTATGGTATCGATATCACGAAAACTGTTTTATAAAGATCACATAAATAGAAATGTATAATATACCAAAAATAAAGTTTATAAGGTTCGCGTAATAATAATTGTCATACACTGGGGAAGAGCTAGTGTTTCCCAAATTTTAATAAACCGTGAACGTGTATTTTAAAGATAATATTATCTGATTTCTGAGTACAAAATAGTAAATAAAAATTTACGATTTACCGATTTTAGCATTTGATCATCGAACAAAGAATTGCCAACTTTTTAAAATTTCTTAGAGTGGGGCATTTGCCATTGTCTGCCTCCCCCAAATGACGCTCCTGAGTTTTTAGGATACAGTTTTTTACGAATCCATTTATGCAACTTTTATTTTGCATTTTTTTGCATTTTTTCATGTTTTTAATATATATAGTGAGTTAGCAAGTAGACCATGTTTATGAATTAAAGAAGCTAAAAATCTTCCCCGAAGAAATAATAACAA